AAATTATCTGCATGTTTTTTGCAGCAATTATTTGCATATCTCTTGTCATAGGGTCCTCGTTAATATATACTGAAGAAAAATATAGTTGTTTAAAATTTCTGCCTTTTCCTGGTCTTCATTAGCTAACAGACCCATCTTTGTTTCCAGTGTACCTATACATTTTGGTTGTTGGTTTTGCCTTCTTTGGCTATCAATTTCTCATTTTCTAGTTTAGCCACTTTAATTGCCTTTTTGCAAGCATTATTTGCTTTCTTATATCTTACATAGGATGCCTTTGATTTGTCTGATTTAAATGCCCTTTTCTCATTTTTAATCTCTTGTTTTACTTCTCTACTAAGCCACATTGGTTTCTATTAGTTTTTTTTTATATATATATATATATATTACCCACTGGTCCATACTGAGAAGTGTACCTTTCTAATATTTGTTTGAATAGTTTCCATTTATCCGCAGTGGTTTTTTTCCCACCTAAGTAGTTAATGCCAGTTGATATATTCTCTCTTTATGTATCTGCTTCCCTTTAGTTTCATGCTTGGGGTGCTCCTTCTCATATGACTCACGTGGTAGAATTATCCAAATTCAGATGCAGCAATTCAGATACTGCACTCCAGCCACATCTCGAGGACACCCAGTAACTACTCCCATGTTTGCTACCTGCTCACGTTGATGTCATGGCTGAGCAAGACAGACAGGCCATCCAGTATTGAATGGGTTGCAAAACAGGGATATTTTTAATTTGTTCCCTGGTCAAAAGGATTGGCCTCTGAGAGTACAATGTCAGAATTCTCGTAGTATATACCAGCTACACAAAGCATGTTTTATAAATTCATATTATGTGGTATTTTACCCAGACAGTATGTTCAGAAAAGCCAAAGCGCAATATAGAGAGTTTGCACATGTAGGGTTATGTATCAACCTGGAGATGAGGCAAAGCTGCAGAGTTTCTTCCCCAGAATCAGCCAGCCAATCTGATTTAGGCCTGGATTTAAAGTTGGAGAAGCTTTTCAAGTGTTCTAACCATTTCTTGAAGACACAAGACCGAAACCATTTGAAATTTTTATCCGAAAATGAAGTTATGCCTTCATTTTGTTAAAGTTGAGTTATCCCATTTCATATATTTATTGAAAAGAAGCTGTAAAGCAATGGAGGATATAGTCTCTAGGGCAGGTATAAGCAACCTTTGGCAGTGGCATCGCTAGGGGGCTTGCGCCAGAGGGGGCCATGGCCCCCCCTACATCATGCTGTGCCCTCCCTTGCGCCCCCCCAAATGCTGGCAACTTGCTGGCCATGTGCTTAAATTATATTCCCTTGGACTGTAACAGTCTGTTACAGCCCTAGGGAATGCAGAACAGAGGAGCTGGAACGATGCTGGGTGTTTTCAGCAGCTTCCCCAGCACAGGCCCCGCCCCCCAAATGAAACCCCACCTCCCGCACATAAGCCCCACCCCCGCCGTTAAGCAGCAGACCTTGCTGCTGTTGGAAAGGCCAGAAGATGGCTGTCTGACCTCCAGTAACAGGCTCCAGTGACAGGTAGGCTTGAAATGCTCAGGTGTTTGTGTGTGTGTCTGTCTGCTTGCTAGTGAGGAAGCTTGTGTGTATGGCCTCATCAGTCTGTGTGTGTGTGTATGGACTCAGCAGTCTGTGTGTGTGTGTATGGCCTCATCAGTCTGTGTGTGTGTGTATGGACTCAGCAGTCTGTGTGTGTGTATGGACTCAGCAGTCTGTGTGTGTGTGTGTGTGTGTATAGACTCAGCAGTCTGTGTGTGTGTGTGTGTATAGACTCAGCAGTCTGTGTGTGTGTGTGTATAGACTCAGCAGTCTGTGTGTGTGTATGAACGCAGTCAGCTACTTTATCCTGAATACCCAGAACGTGAACATAAGTTTTGCAGAATTGAAGAAGATTTGCCGCTAGCCAGGTAAGACTCCTTACCAATTTCATAATCGAGAGGGACTGAGAGCGGCCTTTGTTAACTATATAACATGTCACCAAGATATTAGGAAAGCATCTGACCGACTGCCCTCTCCACTCTTTGCCCCGTATATGTGTAGCTGCTACGATTGGGTAGATTCAAATAGTACTGAGGTGGTATTGAAATTTACTAGCGAGGTAGACTCAATTAGCCAAGAGACGTCTACCCATTTGTAACCAAAATTCACTGCATAATCTACGGCACCTGATGCGTCAGTCGTCAGAAACGGGGGAACAAGTAGTGACCTGCCATTCCAAGAGGACAGGAACAGACGCCACCTACCTAATATCGGCTCTAGCTGGTTTGTCTAAGAGAGCTGTGGAGTCGTCGACAGGGAGGCCATGCAAGAGAGAGAGGATTCTGGAAATTAAAGACTTACCTTGTGGAATTATTCTCCCCGCAAAATTGAGTGAACCGGGTAGTGACTGTAGCTGATTCCTGGTGCAAGTGTCTTGTGACGTGCAGATGTTGATGTAAGAAAGAATTCTATCTACTTACACTTGTGGCAGGTTGGCCTGCATAGAAATAGAACTGAGTGTAAACCCCGGGACTGTGATCTCTGTGTTTTGTCCTGGCTACGGGTACTCCTAATCTTTGAACAGAGTGAACTTTATTGGGTGTGGAAGATTTTAGGCTACCGCATGTAGGGCCACATTGTTTTTGGCGTGTGCACTGAAACAAAATGAGCCCACGTGAAGAAGCCTACCAGCACTATAACTACAACCACCGGCATTGAAATTATTGCAGACTTGTGCTTCACCTAGAAAACAAATTGGCCTGCCTACTTTGTCTTAACAAAATCCCTCTGGGATGTGTCGGACTGATAATCAGCGTTGGCTTACTGGTAGAGGGAATAGCTACGTTTTCAGGATGAAATTTGATTGTATGGGCTGTTGCTGAGCTTATGGCGCAGGAAGGAGTTTTGAGACCCGAAAAAAATGCCTTAGAAACAGTTCCGTGTGTAACTGACCCCAGTCGGTGTTTGTATAGTACTCTCTGCGAGCCTGAACTGAGATGGGTGCTGGTAACTGACAGAACGTCTCTTTGTATAGAAGCGTTAGACATGCTAAGGAAGTGAGGCAGATGACTTGGTTAGTAAGGTACCGTATAGATCTGCAGTGGCCGAGCTTACTAGAGTAGTGCCTACAGGCGAAATTGTATTAACTAGCTTATGTTGGTGACAGGTGACAACCTGACTACTTGCCAAGTGACTTTTAGAGGCTCTACCTATGATTTGGCTCATGGGGCCTTTGTGCTACTGAGGTGGGTGGCTGGGTGTTGGCCTCTGACATGTAAAAGATTGTAAAAATCGATTGGCCGTGACGGGTGAGGCTCTAACTCGATGCAAGGCTATAACTATGCGTTGTGCCGATTGGGCTCAAACCTCTGAACGGAAGGCTGATTGTATGCCTTGCAGGGCCACTTATAGGCAAGGAGGCCTATGGGACCATACCTAAGTTGGAGAGAGCTTAAACCTTGTCCTAACCCCAACTGGTTTTATTTTGTTAACGTACCTGCTGATTGTCCTGTATAACGTATACTGTAGTGGAAAGAACGATCAGTATCCTGCTAATAGATTTGATCTTTTGGTGTTTAAAGTGTATAATTGCGCACAACACATGACTTATGGGGCTGCCATAGATTTTTTCTTCCCCAGTACTGCTTTGTGTCCCCAGGCCAGCCCTGAATACAGGCATGTGTAATCTCTGTATAATATCCTGGGACAGTCAATGCTCTCCTTACAGTGCTGCGCTCTGATACCCACAGATTACAGGAACCAGAAGCACTGACTGAAGTCTGATGCGTGTTGAATTGGCAGCATGAAAAGGGGCTAATGGAATATGTGCATAGGTTTGTCTTTAGCTCCCATTTCTCTTTAATTCCATTCTGTAAATTATCCTTTAATATTTCATTTTACTATTTTCAGCTCTTTTTACTATATTCACTCCCCAATATAATTACTTGTGAACTTATGTTAAAGACATATAGACAACTGACTGAAGCACATCTACACAAGGTCTTTTTAGATTTGTACAGACAGTGTCACCACTGATACCCAACTCACCTAAATGTGATAAAGTACCTGCCTGATAGGTGCTGTGCATCGCATACCAGGGATGTGTGGTGCTGTTGGTGGGAACTTGATGTTATAAAGGTCTACTCAATAAAGAGAATTTCCAACATTAGGTTGAATTAGTGCAGCTGAATGGGAGAATGTTTCTAACTTGGCCTTAGTCTAAAATTACCATCTCAATTCCCTGTAAATATTTTATGGATTAGACTAATCTGGGTGGGTCAAATGTGCCCACCGCCCCCCCCCCCCCAAAAAACACAAACAAATCCTACAGACACCACTGACCTTTGGCACTCCAGATGTTGTGGACTGCATCCCCATAATGCTGGCAAAGCATCGTGGGAGGTGTAGTCCCAAAGGTTACCTATGTATGCTATAGGAGCACTGCCACACCAGTTTGGTGTTTCTAAACTGCGGCAACTAGTTATGGAACACAATACAGATTTGGAGAACGGAGGATAGACGGAAAATACACAAATCAAGGAATGCAATTCAATTATTTTTATTTTCTTCCTTCATTTAGAATCTGGAGGGAGCAATTACAGGGATCATTAGTGCCTTGACCTTACTAGAAGAGCCTAGACAGGTTTTCCCACCATGAATAGTTATGACAAAACCCTACATTCCAATGTCAGATAAGGTCACACCATGACTAGATATATGAACAGGGTTATGCAGATACATTGTGTAGGTTACAAGATTAGCAACCTATAAATATTAACAGTCTGTAGGTTGATTTAGTCCCTGAAAGCCAAATACATAGTTACAGTGATTGCCTTGTAAACTAGTTAGCTGGTGGTAGAGGGTTCTCAGTTGGGGGTTTTGGATCATCGTCAAACTTCATATCCCTGCAGAACAGCACAGCTTCTTTACCAAGACCCAGCTCATACTGCCAAACATAGATCTGCTCATTGGGTTTCACAGTCAGGCTGATGGTTTCTTCAGTTTCAGTTACCTCATTCCAGTTCTCTCTCCGTGTTGACACTGGATCCTCCATATGAAGTACTGAGAGAGAACTGGCTCTTTACGACAAGGGCACTCAGACCACCTGTCTCTGCAGACACTGTGGCTGAAACATTCCAGTTATGTTCCATTGAGGACATCTTCTCCTTCTCATAGCCAACCTTTTTGTTGATCTTGTTTGTCCAGGTGATTGGAGTCTGCGAGTCATTGGTTATGGTTTTGATGCACTTCCAGACACCAAATGAGGGACCCCGAATGAGGGCCAAGCCCCCAGGGGTGAAGTTGGTGACAGTGGAATGAAAGGAAAAGGGCTTTCCATCCGTATCCTTTGAGAAGTCTGTGCATTTGTAATACTGAACCCCCCATTCATCATGAGGCTTCACAAAGTAATAGTAGTCTTTGACACCAAAGTAGTAGAGCCCGTTCCTGCAGTTGGGATGGAGAGTGTACTCCACCCCATCCTCGTACGTGTTCATATTTTTAGTTTTACGATAAACCCCTCGACTCTGGTCGATGATGTAGAAGTGACCGAAGGCAGAGAGATAGTGATCACCACCCCGGCAGCTGGGATGTAAAGCGTAGACTACAGCACCTTCATCTGTGTTCATGTTGGTCACACGGCGATAATTCGTTCCCTTAATGATATAGAATAGGTCATCTTCATGGGCCAGGTAATGGTCTCCATTTCTACAAGAGAGATGCAGACTGTAGACAACTAGATCTTCACCCTTGTTGAAGTTTGTTGACCGCATGTAGCAGCTGAGGTCAGATCGGACAATGTAGTAATATTTGTCAACACCACAAAAATCCACTCCTGGGGCATCCTTCTTGGGAACGATCCCAACCATGGTCAGACACTGAAAGAATAATAAAAATACAAATTTAGGTGGTTGGTTATAAAAATGGATTTTGTTAATGTAACAATTTTGGATTCAATGTCCTAAAAAGCTTTGCCTTCACTTATGTTAGAACAAGGAAGTTTTGAGAGGGCAAGAGTGGTTGGGATGGGAGAAAGTATAATTGACATTGAAATGGCAGATGTTCATTCAATAGAAAGAGCGGAAATATTTGGTAGCCATTTTGACAGATTTAAATGTCACCAAGACCAATATTTGGTGCTTCACTATAAAATGTAAGTTTTCACATGTCAATGCAACAATATGAACATTGAAGGATTAACACTATAGGAAAGGGCATCATGTTTTCTAGACATACAGACTCTTACAGTAGATTATATAGTTACAATTTCACACTAATGTAATGGCGGTCACTATGAGAAGTTTCGTTTAGACGTAACCCTTGCAGACCACTACACCAAAACCTTCCTCCTTTGCCATGCCCTCTCTCCACAAAGACTTCCTTATCAAATGTATGTACACAGCCCAGTCACCAACATGGAGTGATCTGAACTATAAAGCAACCTGCATTTTAAGGAGAGGACACATAGTAAGTATATTACTACCAGTTTGTGAATTAAAAGCCGCTCGCTCAGTGCTGAGCTGTGTACATACATCTGATAAGGAAGGTTTTCCTGGCATGAGGGGAAATGGTTAGAGAGGCAGCATTTTGCAGGACATTTAAACCATTCATTTGTATTTGCCAAAAAGCTGAGCCACATGCATAGTGCACCATCCCTCCCAGTGTATTCAGTCACAGCCATATACAATACAGCATCTTTATATAATCTACATTCAGGCTTTGGAGACAGACCAGCTGCAGCAGATTGGAAGAGTGTAGCTTGCAAAAATAAATAGGAGTTTAGTAAATAAACCCATTTCCTCTAGTGATTGAAATAAGGTCAACAGAAATATATATAGACACCTGGTGTTTAATTAGGGTAAATCAATGCTCAGACTGGGAGTAAATTCTTCAATATAATCTCAGTCTATTCACTGAATTAGGAATTCAGGTTAAATGACAACTATAGTGCCAGGAAAACACTTGTTTTCCTGGCTCTATGAAGTCCTTGGGTCCCCCTCACCCTCAGCCCCCCCCCTCCCACCAGGCTCTGGGGGTGGGGGGAGGAAGGGGTTAATCCCTTACCTTTATGTAGCGTAAGGCTCCCTCGGTGCTGGGGACTCCTTTCTTGTCATTGGCTGAATGCACATTCAGCTAGTCTCATAGGAAAGCATTCTCAATGGACGCAGGCGTCTTCTCACTGAAAAAAATCACAGTGAGAAGCGCAGAAGTGTCTCTAGCGGCTGTCAATGAGAGCCACTAGAGGCTGGATTAACCCATAGGTAAACATAGCAGTTTCGTAGAAACTGCTATGTTTACTGCAGAAAGGGTTAATCCTAGATGGACCTGGCACCCAGACCACTTCATTGAGCTGAAGTGGTCTGGGTGCCTATAGTGGTCCTTTAAGGGGAGATTTAGGTTCCAGATGGGTTTATAGCCCAGTGATCCACAGAAGGTAGATTTGTTAAAAAAAAAATAAATAAAAAAAAAATAAAAAAAAAAATTATACCGTGAGGGTTGCCAAAGAAGAGTGCTGCCCTGCAGTATGTACAGAATAAACCACAGGGTTCTCACATGGTTAAAGGGCCACTACACACACCATTCAATTAAGATGACTGATCTGGGTTACAGTAGTCTCCCTATAATGTTTAAGATACACTCAGGTATTTATTCCTGGGACATCAAGTTAAATCCAAATGGTGACATTTTATTGTCAAGCAGTTACCATGGCTCAGTTAGTTTTCCCAAGTCTGTCTTTTTGCCTCATTTATATTTAATAATAAAGTTAACACTCCAAGGAAATCCACAACTTGGAAATAATCACACTGTGTATAAATCACATTATTAGCAAATAGACATAGAATAACTCACATAGTAAGGCACCTTCTCAGCTCCAATACAGAAACTGTGATACCAGCAAACCCTCTCCTAATATCACTCCTCCCAGAATGATCCTTTTATAGCTGGAGGTGAGGGGGTTTGGACACCTTGTTATTCAATCCCTAATGCTTTACTAATTGATCCCCCTCTGATCCAGGTGAGGTTTGGGGGGAGATAATGATTGGGAGAAGAGACACAGGTGGGAAGACAACGAATGGTAAGGTAATGGTTAATACATGAAAAGTGCTGAAATATATTTATATATGTACTCACTATAATTCCCCATTGTTTAGTGACTTGATTTACTACCTGCAGTCAATACAGGGGTGTTGTTGAAAAATAGTGCATTGAATAATACAAAAAATATTAAACAATAAAAATAAAAACTACTCACTCTAATCACCTATTAACCCCTTAAGGACACATGACATGTATGACATGTCATGATTCCCTTTTATTCCAGCAGTTTGGTCCTTAAATTAAAGAAAAAAAAATCATGCTTTTTAAGTTTAATTTATATATATATATATTACGTACATAAAGTGTCACCACACATTTATGAAGGAGGGCAATGTTTGTTCATAGAAACATAGATAGAAACATAGAAACATGGAATGTGACGGCAGATAAGAACCATTCGGCCCATCTAGTCTGCCCAATTTTCTAAATACTTTCATTAGTCCCTAGCCTTATCTTATAGTTAGGATAGCCTTATGCCTATCCCACGCATGCTTTATATTTTACGTACATAAAGTGTCACCACACATTTATGAAGGAGGGCAATGTTTGTTCACTGTGTTCATTTAATGTAAACGCTATTAAATAATTCTGAAAGGACACTCCGTATACCTGTAGCACTTTAGCTTGCTGAAAAGCCTTATATGTGAAAAGTGTGCCCTCTTTTTTCATTTTACAAAAACTGCAGAATTAAAGAAATTGAAGATATGAAAATGAGGTATGAAAGCGAGAGCTTACAAATGCTTCAGTCAAGAGATCTGCAGTTTTTACAAGCTGTTTTTAGATAAACACCCAATGAGAAAATGCATAATTAAATGCATACACTGGGGGTATATCTACTAAACAGTGATTTATATTTCTGTAAATTTAGGCAATGGAGTGTCACTTTAAGGGAAACAAAAAGAAATGAAAAAATGTTCTTCAATGACTTGCTTTTATTGTGTTTCATTATCTTTTTACATGGATCAACAAAACAAATGTTTGAACTAAATGTGAGTGACATGACCATCCGTGACATCACTTCACAGATATGACATCACAATAGAATAGTTATCCCCAGTGTTATCTTTGATTCTTCATTCAGTGCTGGAGATTCACCAGTCAGAGTCTTCATCTCTGAGTAAACCATGGACAATTAGTGCATCCAACAGCTCTGCTAATGTGAGATGTAAATAATACAAATGTCCATCTACTGCAAGAGATCCACTTGGAGGTAAGAAAGAAAGAAAAGGACAAGACATGAAGATTATTAAAGGGACGCTATAGTCACCCAGACCACTTCAGCTCAATGTAGTGGTCTGAGTGCCAGGTCCCTAAGGTTTTAACCCTTAAGATGCAAACATAGCAGTTTCAGAGAAACTGCTATGTTTACATTGCAGGGTTAAGCCAGCATCTAATGGCTGTCATCCGGACAGTCACTAGAGGCGCATCTGCGACGCTGGAGGCATATTATGCCTCCATCGCGCAGAGCGTCCATAGGAAAGCATTGAGAAATGCTTTCCTATGGACACTTTGAATGCGCGCGCGGCACTTGCTGCGCATGCGCATTCGGCTCCGCTGACGGCGGTGGAGGAGAGGTCACCAGCACCGAGGGAGCCCGGCGCTGGAATAAGGTAAGCTGCTGAAGAGGGACCCTGAGGGTGGGGGCTCCCTCAGGACACTATAGTGTCAGGAAAACCGCTATGTTTTCCTGACACTATAGTGATTCTTTAAGAATATTTGTGTAATTTATCTTTCATATTAGAATGTAAGCTTGGTTAGCAGGGATATCCTTTCTCTGTATTGTCACTTTCATATTAGAGTGTAAGCTCTGTGAGCAAGAACCTCATTCTTTGTATTGTTACATTCATATTACAGTGTAAGCTTTGTGAGCAGGGACTTCATTATTTATATTGTATCCAGTGGTGGAACTAACGTAGTGTAATAAAAGTTCATTTTGAACTCAACTGCAGATGCAAAAAAAAGTTTTATACTGTCACTTTAAGAATATTTGAAGTAGTCGATTTATTGCTTTTAGGTATTTTGAATTTAACAATCTTCTGAAGCAATACAAATTGTAAATAATATTCCATAAAGTTGTTATGTTATGTTGTTATCATTTATATAGAGCCATCAAATTCCGCAGCGCTTTACAATGGGTGGACGAACAGACATGTAGTTGTAACCAGACAAGTTGGACACACAGGAACAGAGGGGTTGAGGGCCCTGCTCAATGAGCTTACATGCTAGAGGGAGTGGGGTAAAATGACACAAAAAGGTAAGGATAGTGTTAGACTAGTGACAGTTGCAGAAGAGGGATCAGTCGGAAGCTATTAACAGTTTAATTGATACACTTTTATGAAGAAGTGGGTTTTTAAAGATTTTTTGAAGGAGTGGAGACTGGGTGAGCATCTAACGGAGGAGGGAAGAGAGTTCCACAGGAACTGTGCAGCCCTCGAGAAATCTTGAAGGCGAGCATCAGAGATGGGAGTACGGACAGGCGATAGACGTAAGTCTTCAGCAGATCGTAAGGGCCTAGACGGGACATACTTGTGTATAAGGGAGGATAGATAGGTGGGAGCAGCATTATGTAGAGATTTGAAAGCAAGAACCAGAATTTTAAATTGAGCCCTATATTTTGCAGGAAGCCAATGTAGGGACTGACAGAAGGGTGAGGAGTGGGAGGTGCAGGCGGACAGGAAGATGAGCCTCGCCGCCACATTCATTATGGACTCTAACGGCACTAGTTGGGAGCACGTAAGACCACTGAGAAACGGATTACAGCAGTCAAGGC